ACAATTCCTCAGAGCACTCCCCATGGTAAATGCGAAAGAAAATGCTAAGAGATGCAACATCTCTTCGCAGTGCCAATGAGTCGAGCCGATCGGAAAGGACTCGGTCGTCGACGATTCGAGCCGCTCTGCGCTGGATGCGGTCAAGTGGAAGAAGCTGGCACTGGGGAGCCCCAGCCCAGAGATGGGAACAGTATTCCATGTGAGGCCGAACCTGCGCCTTGTAAAGTTGCAGGCGTTGAGCCGGCATGAAATACTGTCCCGCTCTGCTGAGCACGCCAAGCTTTTTAGAGGCCAATTTGGCCTTCTCTTCCAAGTGACCACGAAACTGCACGTCACTCGATATGTCAACGCCGAGGATTCCGATACTGGCTGACAAGGGGAGTACCTTGAAACTGAGGAGATACGGCAAAGGGGTTCTTTTTAGCGGTAAACGCGCAAACTTGTGTCTTCTGAGGATTAAACTGGACTAGATTTAGTCGCCCCCAATCCGAGACTTTGTCCAGCAAAGACTCGACTTCAGACACAAGTTTGTTCCGGTACTCAGTGACGTTTTCCCGAGAAATGTTGGCACGGCCGGTGTATAGAGCATCACCAGTGCTGTCATCCGCATAGCAATGAATGCTACCGGCTTGCAACATATCATTGATATGCAGAAGATGAAGCGTTGGTGATAGCACGCAGCCTTGTGGAACACCAGCGTTAATAGGCTTGTAGTCGGAGCATGCACCGTCTACAACGACCTTGATGCTCCGATCTGCAAGAAAGCTGGTGATCCAATTGCATAATTTCTCGGGAAGCCCATAGGAAGGGAGCTTCGAAATAAGCGCTTTGTGCCAAACCCGATCGAAGGCCTTCGCAATGTCCAAGCTAACAGCCAATGCCTCCCCCTTGGACTCTACTGCCAACGCCCATCTATGAGTTAAGTAGACCAGAAGATCACCAGCTGATCAACCCCGACGAAAACCGTACTGGCGGTCACTAATCAGCTGGTGATCCTCAAGGTACCGCATGAGGTGACAGTTTACAACGGATTCCATTATTTTGGAGAACAAGGGGGTTATGGCGATAGGCCTGTAATTGGACGGGTCTGAGCGGTCGCCTTTTTTAGGGATCGGGTGGACAAAAGCTGTCTTCCATGATTTCGGGACTACGCCTAGGGAGTAGGAGTACCGGAAAAGACGCGTTAGAACCGGTGCCAACTCCGGAGCACACGTCCTCAGCACAATTGGGGGGATTCCGTCAGGCCCACTCGACTTGTGGATGTCAAGGGAGAGGAGTGCTCTGCGAACCGAGCGCTGTGAGAACCGCACATCCGGCATGGAGCACTCACACCGCGGGATGGTCGGCGGTGTGTTCCCCCCGTCATCAACAGTCGAGTTGGACGCAAAAAGGGAGCCTAAAAGGTCGGCCTTCTCTTTTGCGTCGTGGGTCAGTGAGTCGTCCTCCCTGTGCAGAGATGATAGTGATGGCTTACAGAAATTCCCGTGGACAGCCTTGGCGAGAGACCAGAATGCACGGGTTCCCGAAGGAAGGCGAACTAGTTTCTCGCCAATTCTGCCTATGTGCTCTGACTTTGCCTTGGCAATAACTCTTTTGAAGGACCTGGAGGCGAAGTTATACTTCTTTTTGAGTGTGCTGGTATTTACATCCCGAGTCACCGAAGCCGCAGCCCAGGCTTGATAACACTCCTGCTTACTGCGTAATGCAGTCTTACAGGAGCGACCAAACCAAGGCTGAGATCTGCCTCCGATGGGTACCACAGATGATGGAATAAATAGTTCCATTCCCTGTAGCACCACATCAGTGACAGAGTCAGCAACAGCGCTGGGATCATCCGGCGAGAAGCAAACCCGCCCCCATGGGTAGGAAGCAAAGAAAGACCGCATTCCGTCCCAATCCGCCGACTTGTAATGCCAAACACGGCGGCAACCTGCAGAACGCAACCGCGAAGGGAGCGTGAGTGGCACCACACTCCGGATCAGACAATGGTCCGAAGAGCCGAGAGGGGCATCGACGGAAACCTGATATCCGTCCGGATGAGAGGTCAGCAGAAGGTCCAACAGGGAAGGTGTATGATCCTCCACATCTGGAATCCGCGTAGGCGAAGTAACCAGTTGTGTCAGACCATATGCCAAGGCAAAGTCATAAACAGATCTCCCCGCATGATCGGTTAGACGTGAACCGAGCCATTCGGCATGGTGGGCGTTAAAATCGCCAAGGATCACGATCTCTGCGGATGGGACCTGTTGTAGCAAGAAATCTGTAGCCATTTGGACGTGGTCGATGAGTCTGTCTGTTTCGGCATTACCGCTATGGGACCTATAGAGGCACGCGTAGACGCGCGGATGGTCGTCGCTGTCTACGCGTAGCCAAAGGATGGACAGGTCCGAACCTTCAAGACTGCCGAGGCGTCGAGAACAGATGTCCTCTCTGACATACACGCAAACTCCAGCCCGAGGCACAAAGGAGTGCTCCAATTTGTACCCCGGGTAGGAGAGATACGAAGTATCAGCCGGAGAGAACACCTGCGTCTCGGTCAGAAAGAGCAAGGCCGGCTTCGCCGTCTCAAGATGGTAGTGGACGGCGTTTAGGTTCGAGTGAAGTCCCCTGATGTTGCAGAAATTCACGGATAGCGTGGCAGGGGTCGCTTGGTCTTGTTCCGAGCAGTTATTGTGTTGAGCGGAATTTTGCCCCCCCCCCCCCCAGAATACGCGGGGCAGCCTGAACACCCACGCTCAGGAGTGGAATAGCATGGTCGTGGATGCTCAGCGAGGGATTCTCCAGGGGTACTGGTACCCTCCTGGGGTAGTTTATGACGTAATTCCGCTACCATGTTGATGGGGGGGGGGGGGGATTGGGCCTCCGGTCACCTGCACTCACCAGACGAAACGCGGAAGCAGAGCTTCCACTTCACGCCGATATTCTGTGAGGTCGTGGTACTAACCCGGCTCGAGCCGGCCCATACGTGCAACAGCAAAAGCTGCTGCAAGGCTCTACCACCGTTAAAGCATCTCATTGTAATGTAAATAATTTCAAAATATTCTGGATTGCCACCAAAAAACTTGATATTGTGCCTCCCCTGCCTGTGTGTTGCAGGTGTAAACGGACCTATTAACATAGCTAATATTTTTGCAGACCGTTTTAAAATGAAGTCGTTGCTGGGTCCATCGCAGCCGGTGTCAACTTCAAACCAACTCAGTCATGACTTAATTAGATTTACATCTGAACAAGTGGCAAGTGACATTAAAAGTATGACATTCATATGGAATTCTCTGTTATTCGTATCTGTCAAACGAACTTATCTGGATTTTAGTTGTGCCTATAATTAAAAACAAAACAGTTGACGTAGCTGATAAGTGTAAATATTGACTTATATGTTTGGCAATAATTATGTCTAAAATACCTGACACCCTCTTGGATAAACCGTTGAAAAGATATTTTGAGGTGCACGATGCACATTTTTCTGAACCGATACGACTTAGGGACATTCAAGAAAAGAGCCTACTTATTTTTAAAAGGCCGGCAACGCATCTGCAACTGTCCTGGTGTTGCAGTAGTTCATGGGCGGCAGTGGTCACTTACCATCAGATGAGCCGCATGCTCGTTTGCCTCTTCTCCTAAAAAAAAAACCTACGCCAGAAAAAGTTCCATTAGAGCTTTTAAGATTTTTCAGTACTGCTATAACAATGGATCGATAAGTTTTCAAAAAGATACAGGTTGCAATGTAGGGTCAGACAGGGTGGGATTACGTCAATAACACTTTTACAACTATACATAAATGACAATCGTTAAACTCGGAGTCGGATGTCGTATCGACGACTTAGGTTTTAATAACATTAGTTACGCAGATGATATGTTGCTGCTGAGTCCAACGGTCAAGGCAAGTAGAGAACTGGGGCCGTTGACTGTAGAAGCTCAGAAAATGTGCCTGCTATCTTTTTGGTTGGCACGAAGTTTTGCGTGGTGTAGTGAATAAGTAAATATAACATTATTTAAAGCCTAATGTCAAGTTTTCTACACGTGCAGCCTGTGGTCGAATTAGTCACAGCGGACTGACGACGCCTTACGTATCCATTACAATAATGGCTTCAGGATCTTGTTGGGGCTATCCCGATTTTGCAGTGCATCAGGCATGCTTGCAAAGGAGCATAAAGAGGACTACTACGCCATTATAAGAAAGAAAACAGCCTCGTTGCTTGGCAGGCGGGCTAACTCCGACTCGATCTTGAAAATATTCGCTGGAATTCTTCACTCTTCTTGAGCAATATTACAGCCTCTGTTTAGTTAATACGGCGCTTTGTAATTAAGAATTAGATTTAGGTACTAACATAGGTTATAAATTTATATTTACTATCAAATTATATGGATTACTTGGTTATACGAAATAAATTGTTATTATTATTTTATTTATATGATTTTTAAAGAGTCTATTCTAGTTTAAAAATATCTAATATCCTAACTATCCCATATCCCGCAATAGAATATTGAGGAATCACTACTTTGCATTGAAAAATTCAAACGAATTATTTAGACTGCCGAGGCAAGTTACTTCCTAATTTCTAATTAAAATTTTCTACAGTCAAAACAAGCATTTTTACTAATGATTAGGTTAATTACATTAACCACTGTAATTTGTTGGTAAAGATTTCGGCTTTGTTTCTAAGAAGTTCTACAGAATAGCTTTGTTATTTAACAAGAATAACAGAATGCTCTGTGTTAATTATCTTCATCTTACTTTGCTTATTCAGCAGCATCAATATTGCTTACAATATTAGACTGTGCGAAAATCAACCTCACTGTTTCTACGCTCTTGAAGTGGTAATTTGGTTTCCCGCAAAATGGCAAGCCAATAAACAAGATTGCACCAGCGTTCGCGGTATTTGGTCTACGTAATTGAAAATCTTAGAACTGCTGTAAATTTATATAATTAAGAGAAATAATTGGTTTCACACCTTTCGTTTAATTTCAATAAAGAAAGCACTACTATCAATTATGTAATATTATTTCTGTTCTGCAAGACAAGGTGTAAACACAATAAAATATATATTTTTCTTGTTATGGATTTTTAAATTTATTGTACTGGAAACGATATCCCAGTTTCTTCTAATTATGTATACAAAAATAAAAATAGTACTTACAGCAGTTGGACTCTTCTTGTTCCGATTGGAGGAGAAGTGCTCAATGACTTCCCAGTTCGACTTCTTTGGCGCTGGTGTGTCGGCTGGTGATGGAGAGGCGCGGTGAGCAGCGGAAGGAGTGCTACGACCCGAGTCGTCCGTGCGCGCCGGTGTCGCAGCCGAACGTAACGAGGCACAGCGACGTCCGCGGAGCGCCTCCTGCACATGATAGTCTGGTTAGTTCAGAGAAGTAGAATAATAATTTTCTTTTTCGTTGCAGTTGTTCATTGGTGGCGGTAGTCACTTACCATCAGGTGAGCCACATGCTCGTGTGCCCCTCTCCTATAAAAAAATAGAAGTTGAATATTGTCGGCAGCTATCCGACTAGACAACTGCGTAAGAAAAATCTAAAGTGGGTTGGCTCGACCATAAGAATACCAGCGTAATATAGCTTAATGCTGCTGTGTTTTGTATGGTGAATGCAGAGAACCGGAGATTTTTTTACTGAAGACCAGGCATTTCATCTCATTCCTCAGGGGTGAGAATGCATCTGCATTTTGATTCTTAATGGAAGATAAATGTAGATGTCTATGGGCCACAACATCCACTTATCATCAGATGGACTGAGTGCTCGTTTCCCACCCTTATTCTATAAAAAAAGTTTCAAATGGCTGAAATTGGAACTTAGGACCTGCGACACGATATACATTTATAGATTTTATATGTACAGATAGATGTCAAAATTCACAATATTATATTAGTAGCTAAATAGCAACATAAAGGCTTTTAGGGATAATATAAAATTAAGTGTTGGTACGCAAAGGTACAGACTCGTCCAAGTTTGCCGAAGATGGGCTAAAATGATGTAATGTCAAAGATATGAGGATCATTGTCACACAACTAGAATCAAAAATTACAGCCTAGAAATGTTCAGAAGTGAACCTCCCCATATAGACAATCTCATAGCCCATATATATAATATGTATCATCAGCAGAATCTAGGGATACCTTAATCCTAAATTATTTACGACTTTATAGTTTAAAATCTTTTTAGTTTCCATAAAAAGTTTATACTCGTATACAGACTTAAAACCTCTTTTAATCTATTTTCATAATTTAAAAATGTAAATATAAAAAAACAAAAGAAAAACAAAATACGGCGGCAAAGTTGTTAGTAATTTGTTACGTTGAGTAATACTAAAATTGTTCTACTGATATTAATTAATGAAAAGGGATTAGATTGTTTTCCTTTTTTAATTTAACGTGCCACGTGAACGTGCTTTAAGAGTCATGTCACGTCGCCATTTGAGTCGAGATGAAATGTTAAATGGGCAAGTTTAAAAATGGTACTATCCAACGCGTCGTTGCTGAGGCCCAACACATCAGCTATAACGATATATCAATGTTGTGGTCACCTTATCGTAGTACTGTGAATATGGCGGAACGGCACACGGGTAGATATCGTGTTACTACGCAGAGACAGGATCGATTTCTCCAAATGGCCGTTAGAAGACAACCCAATATCACAGCGATGCAACTACTACAAAGGCTCAAGGCAGACCACCAGCTGCTGTTAAGCGACTAAACCGTATGAAAGAGGTTACATGAAGTTGGTCTTCATGCTCGAAGAACGCTACGTGTTCCAGCATTGTGACGTGGCAATCGCGGTCGGCGGCTTTCGTGTGCTCGGGAGCATTTACGCTAGAGTGACAAACAATGGTCTTTTGTGCTGTTCATCGATGACTCCCGGTTTGAGTATTATCCAGATTAACGAAGAACACGCGTTTGGAAACCTCCAAGGAAAGTTAGCCGTCTGCGGCACCTTCAGGAGATCCACTCATACTAAGATGTGACAGTCATAGTTTGGGCAGGAATTTCTCTTGGCGGACGAACCCAGCTTGTTTACAAGTTTTTACCCAGTATTACTGCAAAAAATACCACGAGAATGTAGTAGAGCCTATTATTATAAATGGGCCAGAAATTTCTACTCATGCACGATAATACTGCTTCTCATACGGCGCGGCTTGTATAAGCCGCTCTCCGAGACCACGATATTCGAGTTTTGGATTAGCCTGCACAGTCGCCCGACTTAAATTCTATCGAGCATGGCTGGGAAATATTAAAACGAAAAGCTTTGAGAGATTTTTTTTGGCCAAATTTGACGACGGAACATCTACTTTATGAACACTTGCAAAGAACATGGGACCTGATACCGCTGCAAAACATTGACAATTTAATTTTAAGTATGAACAATCGATGTTGGCATTTGCAGTTTTTTATAATTTTGAATTATTATAAGGAATATGTTGCTGCCCATCTTCTGTTGCAGTTTCCATTTGTTTCCACTACCTCGGAACCATTTGGTATACTGGATATTCTTAAACAGCAACTACACTGTTAATATGCTGCAGAATTCAATAATATGATGTTGGTTTAGTTTTTTTGGAACAAAGTTCCTTATCGAACGGTACGAATTTGGCGGAGAGGGGCTAGGCGAGCAAAAGTGTAAGATTTTTCAGTCACGACCCGTTCTACCCAAGTGTAGACGGCCTTGGGGGCTTTATGGAAACGAGATGGAATAATATCCATCTTCCTCGCACTTTACTTATCTTGCCAAGAAAGAAATATTATTTTATTTTAAATGACGCTTCATTTTAATAGACGCTAGTAATTCATTTATTTGTATTTGTTAATCAATAGCATAATACGTTTATCAATAATAATATACTACGAAAGGAACTTCGTTCCAACCGAGTGTTCCACGACACTCACGCATGTTTTTTTTATATCTTCTCGTATTGTCAGAGATAAAAAAATATGAAACAAGTAACTTATAATCGCCAAAGCTTTAGAAAAAACAATAATTATAACAATGATTATTAGTTATAATTATTTTTATCACAGCAAAAACTCCACGCAAATACAAATGAAATTATAGAACTTTCGTAATTTATTGCACAAATGATTTTCATTAACATAATTGTATTTCGCAAGACACTCAAAGATTTATTTCGGAGGAATTATTAATCATGTAGTGGGTTGATAAATGTGCTAGCGAAGTAAAAGCTTCCCTGACCTCATTTACTCTTAGAACTACGAGAGCGACACTGAAAGTTTTTAGAACTGGCCACTTGTAAACACTATATAATAAAAATATAATGAATAAATAACTTTTAATTTTGAAAATGGAACTTTTTGCCAACATTCTTGTGTATGTATTTTATTAATTTGTCATTTGTTTACAATTTGGCATCAAATTGAAAATTGTCTGTGTCAAGTCAGCATGAATTTAACGTGAGAAAATTTTCGTACAAAGTTTTTTTATGACTTTCGATGTCGTTTAAGTCAACAAGAATTCGATTGACCTTTCACAATGAATTCCCATTTCGTGCCACTGTTTACAAGTGGTTAAATGAGTTTAAACGTGGTCGCACTAATCTCACCGATGATCTACGTGAGGGACGGCCTTCTTCGGCGATGACTGAAGATAACATCAGTGTTGTGCAGCGTGTGATAGAGACTGACAAAAGAGTGACTTATCAGCAGATTCTGACAAGCTTAGACATCGGTATGAGTCAAGTGCACAAAACCCTACATGAACATTTAGCGGTCAGGAAGTTTTATTCCCGGTGGATACCTCATAATTTGCGGGAGGCCCAAAAACTCTGTCGTGTGGGTTGGTGTCGTGAAATGGTTCAAAGATTTAACGGAGGTGACTCAAATGCTGTGTTCGACATACTTACGGGTGATGACAGCTGGATTTATTGTTATGCTCCTGAAACTAAGAGATACTCTGCTGTCTGGGTTTTTCCTTCCGAGGAGTTACCAACTAAAGTGATGAGAGGTCGTAGCGTGGGATAAAAGATAGTGGCCTCATTCTTAGGAAGGACAGGTCATTACGCAACACTTGTTTTAGAGTATCGAAAACCAGCTACTGCAGAGTGTTACACTAACAATTGTTTGCCACTTGTCTTAGAAAAAGTTCGGGAGAAACGACCTTGGAGTAGGATGCTCCTTCACCACGACAACGCCTCGTCGCACACTGCCAAGCAAACAATCGACTACTTGGCGACGTCGGACGTGGAATTACTGAGTCAGCCCCGACCTTTTTATTTATTTCCGAAAATAAAAGAAAAACTTCGAGGAAAACGTTATATGGACGTCGAGAAAGCAGTAGCTGCGTTTCAGGATGCCGTCAAAGAGACCCCTAAGGACGAGTAGGCAAAGTGCTATTCTCAGTGGTTCCATCGGATGCAGCGATGTTTTGATGTAAATGGACACTATTTTGAAAAGATATAATAAAACTAATAACTTGCTAGTTTGTTCACTTTTGGATTTTCTAAGAACTTTCAGTGTCACCCTCGTATTGTAAAAGTCAACTAGGGAGGTTCGGTAGTTGGCGGTATAAAAAGTACGTATCTATATGTCAAATCTAAATTTTGAAATCCGTGAACAGTGCCCAATTAACGCGATATCTTTCGTTACGTTCCGTTCCGTATATATATTAAATATTGTATATATTTTAATGTTAAAGTGTGTTATTTAGATAAAATTTATTTAAATATTTATAAAAATATAACATTGCTAAGAAGGCGTTAATTTTTCACCACATTCTGTCATCTATATATATAAATTGCTAATAAATTACTACATTTGATAAAAATCTCAATTGCATGTGTCTGTAGATTGTAAGTTTTTGTGACAAAGATGATTGCAAGGGACTAAAAATATGCAAATAAATTTCTCATCATTTTTAGAATTATCTGTCTGTGTGTCTGTTTGTTAGTAAATGGATCACGTGTAAAGTACTAATATTTTTCAAAAGGTACGTTAATAAAATCATAAAAGGCATCTTCGAATTAAATTAAGTCTGTTTTTTATTAAAATCGGTTCATTCTATCAAAAGTTATGATTAGTATTCTGAAGTTTGGGTACGAGGTATAGTATGTTTGATCAATGGTGACGTTGAGTCATGAAGTCGAAATCGTAGTGAAAAGATATACAATGTAATGTTTTACATAAATATACTTTTATCTAAAACACAATAAACAACAAAAAGATTTACACCAATCCATCCATACCGTCTCAGTTAGAAAACTCTAAATAACAATAGTTAGCAGTGTTATCGATTGACGGTGCTGTGCAAATGTAATGCAAAAAGGCGGGCTGTGTTTTTCTTTTCTGCACATGTGTCTTCATAGTAGCTGCTGATAAGCGGA